CGCATTGAGTTGATGGTGGCCCTCGCGCCCACCATTCCATGGGTCAGCCCTCCCTTGAGTCCGATCTCCACATCGACTCCAAGTGTGCCTTCATTTAAGTTGCTTTGGGTCGCTCCCCCACTTGATCTCGCAATGCATCCACCAATGCATTCTCTCAAGCGAGATCATGCGACGACTCCTCGCCGCTTGCTCAGTCCATCGAGCTTCGTGGAGTTGTTGTTTGTTGAGGTACTCCTCCTCAACATGTGAGGTCCGTCTCACATGATTCTCCCTCTGGAGAGTCGGGGCTTATCCCTCCTGGATAACTATCCCGTTGGAGCAACATCTCTCTTCGTTTAGGAGACCACTATCCCCTTGGACTACTCCGATCTGCTGAACAAACTGTGCATTGTTCTGCCTCCTGCAAACGCACTTGCTAGATTACGACTCCCCGTCAATACAGTCCCCGCTGCACCCCTCAAGGCCTAGCAACATGTTGAACTCGTTGCACACTTCAGCCTCCTACGGACGTATCCTTCACATGCCGAAGAGAAAGTTTCAATGCTCCATGGCGCCGAGTTTCGGTCGCCTTGGGATGGCCACGAACATTCCATCGTCCGCATACAAGCCCATGCATGAGTACCAAATTCTTCGAGTTAGCAATTCCCCTCACCTCTGTGAGCTATGCATAACTCTTTTGGTCGTTGAGCAACTCATTCCACCTTGCATGGTCTCATCCTTTACCAAACGCCTCGCTTGGCTTGAGCACCATCAAGTATAGTTGTCAACGTTGAGCCGTAGTTCAAACTCAGCCATCCCAACCTTTGTGCGCTCCACATTCTTCCAAGCTTGTCTGTTCTCGTGGTGCCTCTTGCGCGAAGGGTTGGCCATTCCTCTGAATGCCAATCTCAGATGCCCGCTCCTCCGAGCGACTCCTTTTCCCTACATCTCCATGCCCGTTTTCCCCCAAACGATCGCGCGTGTGCTGACTGCCCTCAACGCAGCCCCGCTAGGTCCCCCACGTTTGCATGCTAAGTGTTTCAATGAGTGCTTGTCCCACTCTGATACCATCTGTCACGGACTTAGCTGGTTTTGCCTAAGTCGTGCGGCACTCTTACGTGTCCGTCCGCAAAGGTCAGCCTCCCCGAAGCCTCCCATTGTCCCTTAGGACCAACAAAAGAGAGAACGGGTTAGAGAGAACGCCTCAATCGGGATCCACAAGCAAACATCTCCGAAAAACACTTCATAGACAATGCAAATTACAAACAGACTTTACAAGCTCTGAACAGTGGCACAACAAAGGGTAAAATGGTCCATTACAGACCGAAAATCTCTCGCACGTGTCTACATGACACAACCTTTATTTACAAGCCTAAAGAGGCCACCAACCCAACTAAAATGGGACTATTAAGCCTTCGGTCGCCCCTTTACATGTTGTACAAGGCATGAATATGCCAAAAGACACGGACATACATAAGCATTACATCAAACACCTTGTTTAGAAGTTTGTCTGTGACAGTTTGTTCCACACCATATTTGTTCCAGATTGTCTCAAAAAGTGTCCAACATTAGCTAAATGGTAGGACTCGATTTATGGACTTCAGCAAAGGTTTTATCACATTTTCTTATGTTTATTAGTCAAGTAAAATGTTGAGCTTTTTTTTTGGTTAATTGGTTTGTCTGAATGGTTAGAAAGAACATTGTTTAAATCAGAAAGAATGTCACCACCTTCAGCTAGAATCTTCTAAGATCATATAATCCTTGAAGTGCTAACCAAATTGAACCATTTTCTTGCATGTTGTCCTCGATCAGTCATATCCACAACTTATCATAACTACAAATACTTTATGTTGTATCCTTCCTATGACACTCTAAGCTCATACTAAACCACTACCTACCAATTGATAATACCCTTACCACAGTGAGCAAAAACCCAAAGAAAGAAGGCAATTTGTATGGATACCTGACAGCCAATGTAAAGCTTCCATCAGAAAATTTGTCTATAGGGTTTTACCAAAAAAGAAACAATTAGGGCAGATGGGAATTAGCGAAACAAAAGAAAAGGCATATCAGAAGTGGAGAAAACAACAATGACAACACAAGAAAAAGTAGCAAACCAAGAAGAATATAACCAATTGAAGATTATAGCATTCATCCACAGGATGATCAAATGTGTAAGTTAAGAAACTAGGAGATCCTGGAAAAACTTGATTTCAAATAATATGCAACATAAGTTAACAGAACCTTCCATGAGCATAGAAAATAAAACACAAAATGAATAAAATCGAAAAGAAATATCAACAACGTATGCAACTCTTAGCTACATTCCATATAAATTCCAAAGGAAAGCCAACAACACAAATAGAATCAAACATAAAAACAAACAAAGACATATGCAGGCATCTTAGACACATGGATAAAAACAGGACAAAAATTTAACTTTCCAACAATGCAACAAAAAGCACTAATATGATGTCTACCTCACGAAAATCTGATAACAATTTTACTGGTAACACTTCTTTAAGGAACTGACTGAAAACCTTAGTATAAACATAGATAGTTTAGGCATTCAAAATTTTGAACTTATAACTAGACACTAGAAAACTTAGATACAACCATACAGCATAATGGTTAAGGAGCAATTATTCTTAAATCATTTTAAACTGCATAAAAAATAAAAGCTTTCAACTAGTGATACAGTGGAAAAGCTCATGTACTTGAAGGAATTCTGAATTTGAATACCGAACCAAACAAGTTGAAGACCGAACTCAAAGAAACTCCTGCTGGACAAAGAAATGTTTTCGAAAATATTGGGTAGGGCAAGCGAGCAGTTCGATCGTCCAAGGCATATATTCTCCGAGGCCCTCCGTGTAGGTAGTTCAACGGTTTTCCACCCAGAAAAACGATTTTCGTGAAAAACTTGGAACACATTTGCAATATTTTTGACAAAAAAAGTAAGTTCAAATTCTATAGAAGTAAAAGATGAATTCCATTCAAATAGAGACCCTGAACCAAGACCGCGATCACAGAACCCATCCAAAAAGAAGCCTCGTGCGAATCCCACCAGAACCAACAGAACCCTAGCAAGATCTGCCAAGAAACAACAAATATTCAAATAAAGAGACATAGAAGCCAACCTGAGCTAAGACGTTCCTGGGCAGATTGGAACCCTGAAGGAATGCAACCGCCTCGTCGCCGCTAACCTTTCCATCCCGATCCAAATCTGCCCGCTTGAAGTACTCTTCAAACACGTCCATCGCCGCCGCCGCCGCCGCCGAGGACACTACCCGACCGAGAATTCCCGGATCAGAGATCCGTCCCGAAGCAACCCAGGAAAATGGATTTAAGCGAGGGACCAATCGCCGGACCGGCGGAAGGGGTCGATCGAGAGCAGGGCTTGGAAGGAGACCAGAAAGGACGCCCAGGCGAGGGATCGGAGATTAGGGCTCTTGGATTGGAGGGGGTTTAATCCTCGGGATGGGTGGAGGATCGCTTTGGCTCTCGATCTGGATGTGTTCTTTTTTATTTCGGGGCCGCCTTATAAAGACGAACATGATAATTATTAGCACTAATAATTATATGGCAAAATTGCATATCGATCCCTCTGAATCGTACAATAAAAAAGTGGATTTTTCTATATCCATCCTCAAAGATTCTAAAAATAATGTATATAATCCCTATAAATGTTGATATAGCATATTATATATATATATATATATATATATATATATATATATATATATATATATATAAAATATACATCCTCCACTTATGTCCCATAATTTAACAAATTACTAAACAAGGGAAAGGTGTTCAAAGGATTCATGTGGATTTTGCAAAGAAAAATTTTTACGTGAAACATATATATTTTTAGAGGTAGTTTGTCAAGGAAAACTAATTATTTTAAAAAATTCTCAATTAATATTTATAAATAAATTTTCATAAAAGTTTCCTCCACTTACTGTTGTTCTCATTACTCGCAACCGCTTCTACCTCACACCATTGCCCTCCCTCTCCTCTCCTTTCTCTCTCTGTTATTGTCGTCGTCCTCACTTGTAATTTTATATAGGAACAATAGGGTAGAGACATAGACGATCAAGGATAGAACCAATGATTAAGACAGAAGATAAGGATAAAATCATAAAAAAATTTATTTATTTTTTAAAACAATAGAAATTTTTTTAAAAAACTGTCCTATTCTTAGTTTGACGACTCTTCTTTGTTAATGTTCTTATCTCACATGTATATAGTGAGAGGAATGAGCTATGAGAGATGAATTTTGTATCCAATTTAGGGTGCACCACATGTTCTTTTAAAAATAAAACTACTAACCAAAATTACAAGTAACTAAGTGAAAGTTAATATTAGTATTACAAATGATCATTAATATACATCATGATATTTTTATTAAGATATCTAAATTGATTAGTATAATGTTGTACGAGTAATAAATATCATGTTCGAATCCATATATGAGTATCATGTATGACATTTGATGTAATATTTTTTTAATTTTAAAAAATATATATTCTGCTGAAACCAATCTGATCCATATTTCGAGAGTTGTTACAATTTATAATATGAGTTTATATTTGAGAATTGGAATAAAAGTTTTGAAACATATTTCAAAAGAATATTCATCCTTATATATTTTAATATAGCTCAAAAATAATAAATTTCATCCCCATAATTTTTCTGCTCATTAATATTATTAATAATATTATTATTATTATTATATACCATCCTTCCCATATTTCCTTTCATTTAACAAAATACTAAGGCTTTAAGAGGATTAATGTGGAAGCTAATTCAAAGGTCTTAGTCTGTGAATATTCTCCTCCATGGAACATGAACATGAACATGAACATGAATGTGATTCGATATATTTTTAGTTCGATAAATATATTTGTCAATGTGTATACCATACATGTATATAGAACTAGAAGAATAGGGTTATTAACTTGCTTGTAAACTATGTCAGAATTTGTAAAGATGTTATTGAAGAGGAGACTTACTCTGAATAAATTCTGATGTAAGTGATGAACTTTGTACCAGATTTAGGAAACAATATATTTCTTTTAAGTAAAAGAATTAAACTGCTAGCCAGATGACAAACCTAATAATTATCTACAATGGCCATGTAATTTGTTGTGCACTGCTATTCACTAGCACATTTAGATGTAATCTAAATCATTCAATAAGGATGTTGAAGTTAGTCATGAGAAAATTTCTTAGGCTTCAATGCTTTTATTTTTTTTTTCTTTATTATTTTGGTTTTCTAGACAGTTGGGGATGGAGGATCTCAAACCATGGTTGCTTCTGTGTGGGTAGGCTCATTTGCCTTCTTGTCTCCTTTATTGTATGGTAGTTGTCATCCATGGGTAGGAGGAAATAGTGAAGCAAGTGTTGTGTCATTCCATTCCTTGACTGAAGCTAATTGAGCACTAAAACAAGAATTCAAATCATTCCTTGCATGCCATTGATTGTGGAGTTGTCAGCTGACTTTGATTAAAGACCATTTATTATTTTTATCTTACACTAGCAAGTTCTTACTGAAGATCTGATAACATATGTTATCTATTCCAGAGGAATTACACTCACAAAGCTATTGGAGTTATTGTCTTACAATTCTCAAGATCAGAAAATTTTGTGGTCTCTAATTAAATCATGGTCATATGTCTGGTAATAATATCTTAGGGGTTTAATGGTTTCATATGTCTTGGGCATTGGCTTTTATTGGATTCTTGCATGCATTGGTGTGTTTCTGCCCCTGAGACTGAAATGTGCCCCCATTAATCTTTTGATAACTTCATTGAAGATTTTGGTGGCAGCTTCTTCTAATTGAAAGGTGATCTTATGTGTTCTTGTTCTTCCTCCAAGATCAATATAATATCAGCCTGCATGTCAGTTATGACACTTCCTGATCTTAATCCTGTATCGTATTAGAATTAGAATTGGGCAAAATTTTGAATTGACTTATAAGGATTTAATGTGCATATTATTATTAATAAACTAATGAGTCAGTTATCTCATCGAACCAAATTAGTCTCAAAATTAATGGAGTCTTGATTTGCTAGATGAGAAATTCTTTCTACTTTTTGCCTTTAATTACCACCTCATACTGTATAATTATGATTCTAGTCTTTGTTTGTTCCTGTTCATCTGAAGAAGCTTGTCACCATGTATATTTGAAACACAAAAAAAAAATCATAAAGTAAAAAAAAAAAAGATTCAGCTGCATGTTAGGCTTCAAAATTTTGTTTGTAAAAAAGCTGCATGACTAAACTGTGGTATTCTTTTAATGTGATAGTATCTCTTCATGAGATCAAATAGAGGCAAACAAGTCTCCAATCCAAGAAAACAGCAGCAATCAAGTTCTTTTGTTTGGACAACTAAACACAAGAGGGTTTGCAATGGAAGCTTCTTAACTTGGTCTTAATGAATGTAAGCTTAAGTTTTATACACACATATGATGGTATTTTTTGCTCAAACACAGACCCATCCATAAAGAACAAAAGATAAAAATGACATGTATCTATTGTATATTCTACATATTGCACAGGGACTAACTGGATAAGCATATATATTTTTTGAAGCATAAAATGACTTCTGATTTGTCTGGTTCACCCGAAATCTTCAGACTAACCCTTTTTTTCCATTGCTTAAATCTTCTGTAGAAACATAAGCATCACTATAAATATTTGCACGCAAGCCCACTGTGGTGAATTTTCAATGAAATCCATATCACAAACCAATAAGAAAGTCATTGGATCTGCCCAAAGGTCGACAAATGACAGCTTCTCGTAACTCAAAAGTACTACACATGATCACAAACTTCAAACACGATGCAAAGGTGGTTGTCCAAAACACACAGATCATACCTCCTTATGCAAAGCCTTTGTGCTCAACCAGTGAAAACAACCTAGTGCTGTTTCTTTGCAGCATGTCGTCATGGGTCAGTTGAAGTGCTAAGTTGTGTGCTGACAGAAAAAGGTTTTAACATCACCGATTTGATAGGCATCACAGCAGTATGACACCTAGATTCTACTTTATAGAAAGATTTAATTGGTAGAGGACCATCATGGAAGTGCTAGCCATCACTGCTGCACAAACAAACACCCTTCTTCCTTGGTCTACAGACAAAGAACTCACTGCTGACCAGTTTTGCACCTTTGGATTGGTGCAGCTACGGAAATCATTAGTTCAAATACTCCTTCCATAAGCACCTTAATCGTCAGATCTTCATTTCCTCGGATAAAATGATAAAACACACAGATGTAACAAATTCAGGTCATTCTTTTCAAGATGATGTGAGGCTGCTTACGATGCTTTGCAGATTTGCTTCTTGTTTTTTTGGTCCTCACTGTAAGCCTTTCCACATGCTCTGGAGATCAGTCCCTACTATGAGTTTGCAATGCATGAACAAACTTCGGATCAATAAGCACAGCAATATCATGTTGTTGTTTCAAAAGAATTTCCTGAAATGGTCAAGATAGTGCGGTGCTGCTCCATGAGGACTTGGTGTTTGGTTGAGCAACAGGATGAACAGAAAGTCTGATTGTATGAGCATCTGTTGATTTGTGCACATCAATGCATTCCTTCAGGTCTTCCTCACATGTTAACAGGACCCACTCCGAGTCATCATCCAGATACTTGATGCCTACTAAAGCAGTATCACCTATGTTAAACCGCCTCTGGATCTCTTGCTTTAACTCTTGGAAGCCCCAAGTTGGCTGTACTCTGAATATAACTTTTTCTTCCCCAAAAATTGCTTTGACCTTAATAAAATCACATCTATTCATCAGCGGAAAAGACATAGTTCCTGAAGAATGATGATCAATATGAAACTTCTGATTCAGGGTTCTAACCACAGATTTTGGTGCCACCTCAGGTTGGGAATGGAATTCAATGTGGCTTTGAACTTTCTCAAGCATGTTACTCTGATTCTCTTCCACTGAAGTATTTTGTCTGAATGAAAATTCATGAGCATCAACGCACTTCCTTTGCTCACTGGAATAGCCCTGACTTGAATTAGAGTTTTGACTACATGAGGAAGAGGAAAGGGAATTTGATCCAGATGTCCGTGAGATTAATCTACTTTCTAGCTGTTGGTTTGCATTCGAGAAGTCTGGAAGATCATTTTGCTTTGACACTGAAAATGTGGTACCAGTCGCTAAGTTGTTTTCTGACCAAGTGGCTTTTATGAAGTTTTCATAGAGGGAACTGAACTGGACGGCTCCTCCAGGACCATGGACGGAGTCTATAACCACTTGCAGTTTCCTTAAGGAGTGACCAACCTTCTTGATCTTCCGTGAAGGCCAACGAGTAATTCCATGTTGCCTACATATTCTTTTAAGTGTAGTAGGGCACACTGAAAAGAAGCAAAAAATATTGATCTTAACAACAATAGATGTGTGAACATTCAAGGCAGGTCATCCTATTAGGTGGCAAAGCAGTAATGATGTCGAACTATTTTTATTAACTTATGCAGGCACATAAGCTAACCAATCCATGTTATGACGGATGAACCTGACAGCAGTAGTAGCATTTTGCATATAAATGCAAAAAATGTTTCGTCATTTACCTCTATATTTAGCCATAAGTGGAAGTAGAATGAAATCTGAAATGATGAACTCAATGCAGTTATTTTAATCAGAGATGCAAGGTTCATTATGGAACATTACATGAAGTATACTGAAAAAGTATGTCAACATTAGAGCTAAAACAATAGCAAACCTATCAGGTTAAGCAACTAAAACATGCAATAGCATTATTAATTCACTGACTGATAGTAAAATGCAAACTTTCTAAGAATATATTGTAGGATTGGAAATCTGTTTTTTGTGCTCAGTGATAAAGAGAAGATGGGTTTAAAACATGATCAAACAAGGACTACACAATTTCATGTGAACAAACACACACATGGTATTCATAAATGGCAAATTCATCTTGTTTCAACTTTCTGTGTATGCTTATTTAACCAAAATTCAGAGTAAAGAATATATTTCACTTCTTGTGATTACTTGTCTCTAGATATTATTCACTCATCTGGGAATATGGAACAAACACAAATTCGTTATTCTAATAATATTAGTACCTACATGTCCAGGCTCTTTTGGAGCTTAGCTTGGTCTCCATCTAATGATACCATGGGCAGCTTAGCTAATTATCTAATTTTGCTAACTAAAACTTCTGTCTCATTTACTTAAATCTTAGTTTGGTCTTAGAATGGAATCAATCAAGACCGTTTTGCTAGTCATGGTAGCAGCTTCTTGTTAAGATATAGTTCTACAAGTGTCTTTGGTGTTAATTTTGGATTTTCCTTTTGAACAAAATCAAGGTTCATATGGTTTAGTTTTCCAAAACCCACCATCTTGTCATGTGGAACATAGTGACTTACTTGCTATAGAAGGATAAAACAGGAATTTTTAGTAATACGATGCTTACCTCCTAGGCTTTTCGCAGCATCTTTCAGGCTACCAGCAAAATACTTCTGAAGCTCTTGCAGACTGACAATCTTTTCAGTTTTTGTATGCCTCTTTTCAGTTTCACTATCCATATTTGAAACATTAATTTCAGCAAAAAATGAAACTTGATTATCATCATTGGACTCGCCATAGTGCTGCTTGAACTCGGAAAACATATCTCCAGTAGGTAGTATTATATCCGAGGGATCCCAATGTGCTAAAATGCTGAATCCCTCCTCAGTAATATCTACATCAGGTGTTCCTACTGGGAGAATTTCATTGACAGTTGATCTTTGACCAATCTCAGAAACAGATTTATCAGAGAATGTACCTGAAGGGATCCGATCATCATTTTCTAACACTGTCTCATGTTCTAGCTCCTTGGTCGTCACAACTCGTAGGGTCTGACATACTTCTTGTATCGTAGTAGACAAAGAATTCAGCATCAATTTCTGTTTTTCACTTTCTATGCAATTGATAGGTAAGAAGAACTCCAAAACAAAGTCTACTTTTCTGGTATGAATACATCGCAGTCGAATAGCCACAGCAGCTCTCAAGCGGAACAACTTAGCATGGTGCGAGAGGGGATATTCTATCTTGCTGAAGTCCGTTATATCTGATGAGAAGCATGGTTGATTTGTCATAAATGCTTTACCGGCAACACCCTGGCCTCTCAACAAATGATGCTCAGAGCACGCTTGGTGAAAACCTGACATGCTAGGATCTCGCACATAACAGGCAGCATCGACAGTTGAAACACAGTCCTTGAAGTTTTCATCAGAATGTCGGGTGCCCTTCTTGCCTTGTCGAATGCATGAAATCCATGTTTGAGCTAATGGCAATCTATGGGTCTCACAGGCAGCTTTCAACACCATTTGGATCTCTGGCAAGGCACCATGGTAAGAGTCACCAGACATCTGACAAAGGAGAAAAATGTCTCAGTATGATGTCACACTGAATTTGTTTTCAGGAATCTCTACAGCTCACCTTTATGCGGGGAACACTTGAAACTTCAGAACTCCTAAGATCGACTGCCTGCAACAAGAAGTCAGGTATCATAAGCAAAGATCTCTAGAGAAAAAGATGGAATATTTTTTCCATTTCGATGATCAGAATCATATTTTCGTGTGACTTTAATGGCTTTATCAATATTTATTTCAAATATGAAAAACAAAATTGTGCAGCAATGTAGTCAACCGAATGATTGCAAACAAACAGAAATCTTGAAGCGACTTCAAATCCAAACTTCAGTAGATTAGCATCACAGTGAAGAATTGGACTTTGTCATGCAACTTTATAGAAAATTAACTCAATTCACGAGTATAAGGAATCTTGGATCTTAAAAGGATACAAGGAACTTATAAGCATGTCAGGACAATCATGAAAATTCAATAAACCTCTACGAGATCAAGAAAAATAAAGCTATCAAGAAGAGATAAAAAAAGGTTTGAGGTTTCAGAGCATGCTGCAAAGATGGTGATCAGGACTCACCTGAAGAGCATTGCAGATGATCTCAAAATCAGAACTGTAATTAACCTTTTGTGTCATCATCACGACCTCGACAACCCCTAAACAAGATCGACTATCCATCTCAAAAATCGGTAGGGCGATCGTTCCACAAACTTCATACCGCTGAGCATCACTCACACGAGGGAATTCACAGCTGCTGAAGTAGCGCACATCCGGTGTCCACTCCGGCAACTTCCCTAGAAACACCCGGCCAGGCAAGCCCACTGCCTCACGAGAGTTCTCATCAGCCAAGAACTGGTACCTCGTGGAGACCGACCGATACTTCACAAGCCCCTGACAGTTCGACTGTAGCAAGAAAGGTTGACCACAAGTAGTAACAACTTGTTGGTTTCCTCTCATGACAGGCACCCAAATCTGAACAAGGACATCACCATCTCCATTTGATTCCTTGATATACCTCAAGGCATAACTCAGTCTTTGTTTCATGGTAGGCTGAATCTGCCGACTCATGGCTGATCGATAATTAGAATCATCTGCTTCCCATTCACCTGCAGGACTCGGATAGATGGATTGTCCGCCATCGAGCATTTGAATCTGGGTTTCTTCTGAAGCCGACTCCACAGAGAAAATTGATCTCTCTGCATCAACCTGGTAATCAATCCCTGGCAGGGTCGGGTTGGGACTGCTGTAGCTAACTCCGAGAACAGGCAATAAGAAAGCAGAGGTGCCTGTTTGCAGGAGATCACAACAATCAAAGACTGATCCTGATAACAACTCATCCATGAAGTCCAAATCACTGGCAGCATCTGATAGGGTTTGGCGAGTGGAATCCTCCATCAGTCACAATCTTTTCAGAACTCCATCACAAGATCCTTTCTGCAATATGATCCGTATCTCAGCTCAAAAACCAACACCTTTAAGAAGAACAAACAAAAGGCCGAATCCAAGAAACCAACAAGAACATATTTTTTTGTGGCATTCAAAGGAAAGCCAGTAGGTGCCTAAAGGAATCTTCAAAAGAGAAATTGGTGGCAACAACAAGAGCAGCAGTAATAATTCACAGGCCCACAAAGAGAACTCATGAATCATTAAACAGTTTTGGACCCACTGCTGCAAGAAAAAAAGGATTCCAACTTGCTTGCAGGAGTAAAGGAACAAAGAAAGGTCACCTTCAGAGGACTACTACTCCAAGATGAAGAACCGCACCACTAGCTTCTCGAGAGAAGTGCAAGAGAATACAATAGAGAGGTAGGGAGGGAGATCAGGATCTTCAGATCTCCAACTGTCCGGTCTGCTGCCCAAAACACACCCCCAACCTTCTTTACCAGCAGCATGTCAGCTGAATCCTGGCATTGGATGGTCTTCGAAGTGGTGATGGAATCTCAGTATCTTTCCCTTTGTATCCCCAACTGATGACCAACGTCTGACTGCACGCAGGAGGGGACAGGCTCATGCAAGGGGTAGAAAGGGAAAGCTGAGGAGTACTGCGATGTCTTAGCACGACAATGTTGACTGTCCAAAAGAGGATGGAGGAGGATCTATACCTCGAGATTCTGGTTTGGGGATCTCGGAAGGCCTGCATGCCTCACGCTCACTCGGAACCGTGAGATGGCAATGGTGGCTGGTGGTCCCATCTCTCTCTCTCTCTCTCTCTTTCTCTCTCTACATTTTTGGGAGAAGGGCCATGGATTTGGTCTGTGGAAGCCACAAGGCACCACATGGGTGGTCCAGGGTTCACAGGAATCTTGGCACCCACTGCACCAGAGGGAAACCACAGTCTGGTTTGCATCACAGAGAAGAAGATTGAAAGGTTCTGTCCACAGTAAGATTCTATCATATTATATTCATCTTCCTAATGAATTCAATTAATATTCTGTTTACAGTGACAGCTTTCCACTTGTCTTTTGTCATATTGCCTTCCCTGTAATGAGGAAGAAGCAGGTAAGCTCTAGCTAAATGATTGGATTAGATGAGGTGCAATGAAGAGGGTAAAAGTACTGATAGTTCTTGAAGGAAAAAAAATGATGATGACACCCTAGAAAAACACAATATATAAGTACTGATAGATGGGATGCACTTGATGGTACATGAGGCATGATCAATCCCTCTTGGACAACTTTCCACTGCCATCACCATCAGCACATCTTTGGCATTGAAAATGTTGGAGGACCAATGGGTTGAAAACTTGATCCAGTTGGATACCAAAAGATGATGACAAAAGCCTCTAGAATTGACTTGGGAACTTTCTGATGGTGAGTTGCTTCTGACCTCAAGAGACAAACCAAAAAAGAAATTGTGGTCTGCGGCTTAGTGTGCTGTGATAGGGAGGTCATCTCCATGCCAGCATTAGCTTAGTAGACAAGCATCTAATTCCAGAGTTTGCACTATACTAATGCTGTCCTGTTTGTTGAGCAGAACACATTGATTGGGTTTCAGTGCAAGAAATTGCCCATTTAAAGCTCAGCTTTGTTCTATAAATGAGGTGTTGGAAGCTTATCATTATTAAACATCCTTTGCATCATGCATTCACTGAACTTGTCCTTCATCAAGAAAGCCAAGAAATAAGGTTAACTTGCAACAGCAAAAGGCCTGTTTGACAGTGAGGCAGAACTTAACATGATTCATCCACCCTCATCCCCAAAAGTCCAAATCCATGGGCTACTAATTTGTCTGCTTTGATGCTCATATCATTGTTGCATGCATGTGTGGCTCAGAAACTTTCTGCTTGCATTTGGGAGACTGATCTTTGAACATGTTCTGAAACTTTTTATTTGTGTTTGTTCAGTTCACTATGCCTTCTGTGGTGAGAAACACAGTTGACTATTCAAGCTTCAACTTTTCTTTTCATTGAGTTATGTGCAAAGTAATATTCTTTTTATAGGTTCAATTTTTCTTATCACATACAATAACAACAACAAGAGGTAAAGTCTCAACTAATTGAAATTAACTGCATAAATCTTTTCTCATCATTGAGCTATGTACAAAGCAATATTCTTTTATAGTTTACAGTAAGAACTTTTCAGATGATATTGTGTTTACCAAAGCCTGGAATTGAGAAGATCAGTTTGACAGAAATATACAATTATGAGTATGAAATTGATGGCAAGTCACTTGCTACATCTTTGCTGCTTATAAAAAGAGAACAGAAAACACTGTCATCTGATACCAAAACATATTGGATTTAAGACAGACTTTCTGATTATGAAACTCAGTGGCATGCCTACCATCAATGTAAGAGATATTTTCTTCAACTTTTAATTTTAATTAGTAGATGGAGCTGCCACAGATTAGGGCAGCATGTTAAGCTGTTGTTATTGGCAGAAGCTAAATAAGTAGGGTTTGAATTCGGATTCAGATAATAATATAATTAAAATAGTGATTTTGGAAAATGAAAAAAGAATAAAAGATATATGCAGATTATACAGCTCAACCTGTAAGATATATGCAGCTGCCACACTTCACACACTCTCCAAAATAATTCTTCTTCGACATCCATGCTTAAAATAGTCAGGTAAACCAAATCTTATGATCATCTGACTTCTTTTTGCATCAAGTAAATTTACTAATAGAATAATTCTTCCGGTAGCAGTTTGCTACTTAGTTTCTTTGTGCAAATGCTATAAAAAAAAAAATCATCTTAATTAATGATTGAAATATCGTATCGTACCAGAGTTTTGACCTTTTCTCGATATGATACGGTACTATATTTCGAACGGTATATTGTTTGAGATATATATATATATATATATGTGTGTGTGTGTGTGCGCGCGCGCGCGCGACGTTGTCTCTCTTATATGTATATGTATATGTATATGTATATATATATAGGTATATGTATATGTAT